CCAGCCCCCCTTCCCTCACCCCTAGTACTTGCCACTAGGGAGTCAGCTGCAGCTCCCTGCTGCAGCCACTGGAGACTGCCCGAACCAAAGCTCTCTGAATCTTTTCTGACAATTCGGAGAGCTTTGAATTGATTTGAACCTTTAAATTGGTTCCCTGATTCAATTCAGATTCGGAGATTCAGCCCGATTCAATGGCCAAATTTCCTCCAAGTCAAATCACCAACTGAAGCTTTGCACAGCCCTACTGACCAGACTAAGTAATTCCTGACATAAGGAAGTTATAGCCCTGTCTCTCATGCTCTGCTGTGTGATAATCGAGCTGTAGCTGCAAATTAGCAAATGATGTCATTTTAAGCAATTTAATCCTCTCCCTTTTCTAAAGGGCTTTGATCTCTCACCTTAATCTCTCTCTAATACGGAAGCTGTTAATATTTTTATGTTGGCAGATTTAATAAAATTAATGATGATTCAAAATGCCCAGATGCACCAAGTCATAATGAACAACCTGACCATGTCAGCGCTGACATCTTTTGGACTCAGCCCAGCTCCACCCACTGCCCAGGTACGTTTGTCAAACTGGGGAGGGGACATTGACCAGAAACTGAATAAAGCAGGGGGAAGCTGACTGCTCTGCTCTAATTGCCTGAGTTCCCAGGGTAAAGGCAGAAGATGCATAAACTCCCACCCTGACAGTGAAAGACAAAGAGCATTTTAAAAATTCCTTCCCTTGTGTCATCATCATACACCATTTCTCCACTGTCAAGGCCAGCCAGGGTAGGTCAGAGTGTGATGATCCCTGGCCAACAGCAGAAACCCACATATCAACAAAACTGCACTGGCACCAGTACTGCTTGTTGTGGTCCTGGGGGTAAATTTGCTGCCCTGGTATAGAGCCCAGATTTGTAGGTATAGGTGCATCCACCTTGCCAGTACAGCTGGAAAAGTGCTCCATGGTCACCATGGCCTTGTTTATACACAAAACTGTGCCATGTTGTAGGAGTTCTGGTTGTGATAGGCTGTAGTTATGCTAAGCTGTAGTGAACTATGGTGGCAAAAAGCAGTATGGGAGAAAGGGGCATACTGACCGCTGGATGACCCAGTAAAAAAAAAAAAAAACAAAACCCACCATAAAAAGGCACTAATGAGCAAAAAGACATTGAAGGGAATACAAAAACAGAAGCTACCAATGTAAAAGTTAGAAATTACTAATGAGTGCAGGTGCATGAACTGGCAAACAAAACAACTAAAGATGGAGAGGGAGAGAGGAGGCTCAAGATGGGTATGCAAGCATAAATACAGGAGTTGGGAGGCCTGTCCCACATAGAGATCTAGGGGAGCGTGAATGCCGTATGGTGTCTCTACCAGTCAAGGACAAGCTTCACCAAATTGGGTTGACTGTTGATCAGACCAACTGGTGTGCTGCCTGACAACACTAAACCTTCCTGAGCTTTTGCTGCAAAATATGTATCCAAGTTGTATTTTCTGCGTCATCTTTGGGATCTGGAAGACAGCTTGCCAGCCTTCCAGAACATACAGATTCCAGCAGTCTGTATATAAAAAATGGCAGCAACCAGATACCGCCCAAGAAAACACTGTACACCTCAGAACAACGCATGTTAGTCACACTGGTGTGGTAAAGCAAACGCGGCACCACCCTCCAATGAACAGGCAGTTATTAGGGGTGTGCGAAGTGGGCCCTATTCAATTCGGATTCGGCCCAAATCAGGGACAGGAATTCGATTTATTGATTCAAATCACTGTCCCCGATTCAATTTGGCCAAATCTGAATCTGAAGATTCAATGCTGATTTGGAGAATCAGTGATTCGGACATAGACACAGCTTTAAAAGTTTTTTCTACATACCTTGAGGTAGCAGGCACAGCTCAGGGAGGCACAGCGGTGGGGCCCAGCATGCTCCCCAGAAGACCCAGGAATGGACTGGAGGTGCTTCTGATCCACTTCTAGGTCTGCTGTCGAGCACGCTAGGGAGCCCCCACGCTTCTGTGGGACGCTTTATCCGCCCCAGCATCACAGCTCTTGCAAGCCCCTGCTATCTAGAGGTATGTAGAAAAAACATTTAAAGCTGTGTCTATGTCCGAAGCTCCGAATCTATTTGAAGGGTTCCGATTCAATTCAGAGAGATTAAAGGGTCCTTTGATTCGATTCGGAGATTCAGCCACTGAATCGGGCCAAATCAAATCAGGAACCGAAGCTTCGCACAGCCCTAGCAATTATAGCAGTGTAAAGTTTCTAATACAGGGACAGCTATTCCTGTACGAGAAGTAGTATTTTATAAATTTACCCTCATAAATCTGTGTCCACACTAAATAGCATCTACTGCTTTAACCTACTAGAATAGTTAAAACAACACAAATTTTGAATGCTTTTTTGTTTTTCTGTTACAGTGTAGTTACTTATACCAGTGATATAGCTGCAAGTTACATCCACTTAACCTGATTTTTGTTAGGGCTGCAGGTCCATGGAGTACCAGATCCTGTGGGGACTATTACATCCCCTACAACTACTCTGCCATCAGTGGAGCTGCATGCGTTTGGCTCAGCCATGATACAGGCCAGGATCTTTCACCTGGCAATAGCACCAAGTCCCAGGTCCTTTTTCCAATTGTTGCGGTGCCTTCAAGGTTGCCTGGCAGCTGTGTCACATTTTATTCGCAGGGCTGAATCGGGGTACTCACTGCACCACATTCATATTCTCTTCTATCTGCTGGACACTTTCCATCATTGCGACCCGAGGTAGCAGGTTCCCTGACACAATCTGTGCATTCATTGTTGCCTGGCAGAGGTAATCAATAGAGACAGAAACCTCCTGCTCTGTCTGTGCGGGAGTGCAGCACTTGTTACCAGACGCCAAACAGCAGGAGCCCAGAGACTCAATAGGAAATTCTATCTTAAGCCCATTGTGGAGGGGAAATGATTTTCTTCTCACTGCAGTAGATCCCTCCTACTGCAGCACATAAGAGCATGTGTTGGAAAATTCCTACACTCTCCATGCCACAGTCACAACTGGATTTGACATAGGCAGAAATTACAGCACCGTCCTTTCCAGCATCTGTAGATCAACCTCTTTATTTCTCAGCATGAGCTAAAGAGCCAGGCTGATGGGCAAAGACTATAAGGAGCTCTCCACCGCTCATCCCTCTGGATCTTCAAAGCAGCCGGGTCCCATTTACTGGGGTTATTCACCTTGAAGGAGACTGTGAATATGATTAGGGACTGAAAATGACTGCCACCTTGCCCGCCATCATCCAGGGGGGCGAGGAGCACTACATAGCTGCTGCCTTTGCCCCTGCAGCTATGCTCAGCAGCATCCTCCCCCCCACAAGTGTAGGAGAGGAAGGAGAGAAATTAGGCAATGCCATTATCTGCCTCCTAGCTGAAGGCGCCCTGGTGGGAGCATGTATTGCATGTCCACCACCGTGCCAGCTCCGCAAGAGCTGCCAGTCTGTTACATCCCAGCTGGGCAGCCTGGCTCTAGCGCTTATGCTGCAGACTCATGTTTTTAGCTGTGTGGGTCTCTGGCACACTCCCCATTGAGTCAGCCAAGAGAGCACCCATTGCTTCTGCAGGCAGCTCTGTGCAGACTGGGATTTGCTTTGAAGTGAATCTACAGCACTAGTCTGTGCCAGTGTAGACATGGCCCCTCCACACCCAGCCTTGCTACAGGCAGGGAATACAGCAAAGCTGTGCTCACTGAATTAAGAGCATACAAGCAATTTATTAGTGATAATACCATGGCAAAAGAATTTAATTACAGTTTGTCTTCAAAACAAAATTATATTTACAGTAATACTTCATTTCCCCAGGGGAATTCAAGGCTGTTTCCCTTTTACCGGATGCAGCAGCTGGACTGTGTCCATCTTCCCCCTTCACTTCTATTGTCTGTATTTGTCTTCAGGGCCAGATTAACCCTTTAGTGTGCCCCAGGCAAGCAAACTTGTGGGTCCCCAGCTGAAGATGAAATTTGTATATTCCTTTTTTTTTTCCCCACTCAATAATTATATGTAAAATAAGCACAACTGGGCCCTGTAACAGGGGGCCTGCTCAGAGCTGATTTAACTGTGGCCCGCCCACCTGTTTTTGGGCTAACCGCCCGTCTTCCCCCCCGCCATGCCTTGTTGGAATTAATTAGTTAATGATGTAATTAAGCAGGAGGCTGCCCATTTCCTGCCCCGATGCCAGGGGGCACTATCTGTGGCTCCATTCCT